GCATTCTGTCACTTATTGGTGGCCTTGGAGTTGTAGGAGAAAAAGGCTGAGGGAAAATTCTAACGGCATTTAGATTGTTCTTAACAGATGGGACAAATTTATCATTTTCTTCCCATATCAAACGAAGGGCAAGTTAGAGAATGAGGTCCTGAATCAGACCTCTTTTAGTGTGCTTTTCATGTGTGTTGATACTTGTGGAATCAAAGGGGTCTGGTGTATACCATTTATTCTGAAGCTTTATATACTCGATCTATGTTGTTTTCTGTTTTCAATATAACCTTTCATCAGCAGAGTTGTGGTGAAAGTTTTTTTATATAACATAAAAGTATCACTGTTTACTACAGGCAGAAAAAGCAGAGTCTGATGCTTGCAACCAAGATGCAACTCCTCAGGAGTCAAAATCTCTTGGCCTGAAATGGGCACATCCTATTCCAGTACCCGAGACGGGCTGTGTCCTTGTTGCAACAGAAAAGCTTGATGGGGTTCGTACATTTGAGAGAACTGTAGTTCTGCTTCTCAGGTCTGGAACTCGACATCCACAAGAGGGTCCATTTGGAGTTGTGATCAACCGTCCACTTCACAAAAAGATCAAACACATGAAGCCTACTAATAACGAACTAGCCACCACATTTGCTGATTGTTCATTGCATTTTGGGGGGCCTCTCGAGGCAAGCATGTTTTTGTTAAGAACAAATGAAAAATCGAAACTCCCAGGGTTTGAAGAGGTAATGCCTGGCCTCTGTTTTGGTGCTCGAAACAGTTTGGACGAAGCTGCAGGGCTCGTGAAGAAAGGCGTGCTCAAGCCTGAGGATTTTAGATTTTTTGTTGGGTATGCCGGTTGGCAGCTGGACCAATTGAGAGAGGAAATTGAATCAGATTACTGGTATGTAGCTGCATGTAGCTCAAATTTGATTTGTGGAGGTTCATCGGATTCATCAGAAAGTTTGTGGGAGGATATTTTGCAGCTAATGGGTGGCCATTACTCAGAATTAAGCCGGAAGCCTAAGCAAGATATGTAGTCATTTATTATATATAGACTGAGTTAGTTATGAATCTAAATGTACATAAAACTCTTTCAACTGGATTTTTATCAGTT